AGTTCCAGGTCATTACCACCAACTACAGAAATGATTGTTCTTCACATTTCCCCCAACTCACCGCATCTCTTGTCAGAATCTTAAATGCATGTCCCCCATCTTTGACCCATCAGCTCCTCAGAATAGTTTTTCTTCAGTTTCCTTATGTACACCTGTACTAGTCTTGTATATCTTTAGCAAATCACCCCTCAATCAGTCTCCTTTTTTTCCAAGGAGAACAATACCAGTGCACACAAATAAAACAAAATACTGCGGATGCTGGAAATCTGAAACAAACACAGAAACCCAGCAAGTCTGTCAGCACTTGTGCAGAGAGAAACAGAATTAATGTTTCAAATTCAGTATGACTCTTCAGAAAAATACCAGTTTCTACAACCTAAACTTGTGGCTAAAACCCATCATCCATGGAACCAATCCAGAATCCTGAAGTTGAATTTTAGTAATCCTTCTTAAAAACTGTTAAAATCCATGATTTATTCTAAAATAGAGTGACTATCTATTTTCCTAAATCTGTCAAATCATGACCATGCCTCATCAGCATTCAGCACTTATCTTTCTTACACGGCTCATTCATGAACACTAATAGAAGGTCCACACATTCACCAGCATCCCAGTGATGCTCATCCTACTCACAAAACACTTTCCTTTTGGTTTTACTCCTTGGAAGAAGAAACAAAGCTGAAGCTTTATCCTGTCTTCTCTTTGGTAGTGATGTAATCTATTGGCACATTTCCATCTCATGCTTCCAACTGCTTTTATGGACTTGCTTTCTGCTACTTTTCAAAAATGCCACTAGGCATTTAGTTTTTAGTTTTCTGTTACCATGTATCTTTCTTTACTGTTTAATTCTAGCAAGGAATGTTGCCAAATCATTTACCTGGAACTATAAATTAACTTGTCGAGAGACATTGCCTCTCCATTAGCACCACTCCGTACGTATGTAGGAAGCCTTTGCTTAATGTCAGCCCACAAAATGCACATTGTATTCACTCTGATCTCCAACTGGCCTCCATTTGCATTGCAATGTAGCTCTTTCGTGCCTGGACCTGCCCAAGTGTCTCTTACATTGAGCCTGTGAAAGTTGGCCTTTGGTAAGGTGGAGAAGCAAGTATACTTTGAAGGCAGTAATGCTTGTCAGATTGGAGGTGGCCAAATTTTTTTTAATAGCATTTGCCCAGGTTGCACTGATCTGCAATGTCTCCAGTCATTGTCTTAAAAAAGTGCTGAATTGCCTTGTGCAGATGGGTAGAATGTTGTTTTGTGAAATGTCCAAAACAGCATTTATCTTGCCTCTCCATCTTGATTGCCTCAAATTGTTGTGCTATTGTTTGTTAATTTTAGCTGTAAAATTCATTCATAATGATACAAAAAGAGAGCTAGTGATTCTGAAGTGCTTTCTGCTGAATAAAGACAGTGAAAATATGTTACATTTGAAGTGAAATTAGATATCATAAAGCACTTTGGAATAGGTGAAAATACAGCGAGTTTTACTCTAGCTCTTGACTTGTCAGCAACAATGGTGAGAATAATTATTAAAAATATGATAAGAAGTTGGTATACTGACAGTGTTATCCTTTGCCTGCTGTTAAATTAAGTAGAATTAATCAGAGTAGAATTATAATGGATATGGAAAGCCTGCTAACCTTTAAAATTGAACATCAAACTCAACAGTGCACACCTCTTAGATTAATGCATATTCAAGAAACAATTGGGATTTTATACAATAATATCTTATCGAGAAGGCAAGGCTTCACAGTTTGTTGAATACCCACATTTTATTTTCTCAGTTTTTCATGGTAGGGTAAATAGATTGCTGACAGTTTGTACACTTTCATTGCTGTGGATCTAGAGTCACATGAAGGCCAGACCAGATAAGGATGGCAGTTTCCTTCACTAAAGGGCATTTTTCTGACAATTGACAAAGGTTTCATGGTCATCATTAGACTTCTAATTCAAGATATTTACTAATTCAAATTCCACCATCTGCCATGGTGGGATTCGAACCTGGGTCCCTAGAAAATTACCAGGTTTCTGGATTAACAATCTTGCAATAATATCAGGAGGCCATCACCTTTCTTAGTAAATTTAATGTACATGTTTGGATGGAAAAGTATATTTCTCTTGGAACATAACTCTTGATTTGTAAATTGCTTCTTCATGAGGTTGCACAATACTAAATTTTCAGCAACAGAGTTCTGACATTAATTGCGTACTTCCTGTACATATGTGCTGGATAATGCAAGATAGGACCAGAGCCAATCTTAACACTTTGTTAGTATTTATGATATCATTGAACGGTGGAATAAGCTCAAGGGACTGAATAGCCTATTTCTGTTCCTATGTTCTGAATGACTGCAGTCCATTTTGGTGCATGGACATCCCCAGGACTTTGAGGAAGAGAGTTCCAGGACTTTGGCCCACTGAGAGTGAAGATACACACATATACACACACATAAAGACAATATATTCCAAGTCAGAATGGTCTGTAGCTTGGAGGGGAATTTGCAGGTTGTACTGTTTCCAAAAATTTGCTGCCCTTGTCTGTCTAGCTGGTAGAGATTATGGGTTTGGAAGGTGCTATTTGTTGAGGGACCTTTGTGAGTTGTTGACTCTGTTGCATCTGTCGATGGCAGCATTGTTAACCATCACTGGTGGAGAGAATGTTGAATGTGGTGGATGGAGTGCCAGACAAGCTGGCTGTTTTGTCCTGGATGGTGTCAAGTATCTTCATTTATTGTTGGAGCTTCATCCATGGTAGAAAGAGCTGAAAATGGTCGGGTGTAGGACACTACCCTGAGGAACTCCTCAGAGAAGTCCTGAAGTTGAGATGATGACCTCTAATAATTACTAAATTCTTCCTTTGTGCCAGAAATGACTCCAACAAACTCAGAGCTCTCCTCTGATTCCGCTTGACTCTAGTTTTGCTAGGGGTTCCTTGATGCCACATTTAGCCAAATACCAAGGGTGACACTTGATCTCACTCTCACATTATCTCTGGAATTCAGCTCTTTTCTTCAAATTTTAATCAAGGCTGTCAGGAGCTGAGTGGCCTTGGCAGAACCCCCAAACTGGGCTTCACTGAGCAGGTTATGCTTAGCAATTTCTGCTTTGTTAGCACTGTTCATGATATCTTCTGTCACTTCATTGATTATTGAGAGTAGACTGATGGGGCACTAATTGGCCACGTTGGATCCGTCCTCTACTGGGCAATTTTCCACATTATGGGGTAGATGCCAATGTTCTAATTGAACTGGCACAGCTTGGCAATGGGCCTACAAGTACTGAAGCACATGTCTTCAGTACTAATGTTATAGGTTATCACGTTCATAAGCTTTGCAATGTTCGGAGTCTCTAGGTATTTCTTGATATCACCGTGGAATGAACTGAATTCACTGAAGACTGACATCTGTGCTCTTGGGGACCTCGAGTTGAGATGAAGCTGGAAGATCTGGGCTCCCCTCATCAATGTAGATAGGAATATCTGTGAAACCTCTTCTTCCAATGAACTATTTAATTGTCCACCACCATTCATGGCTGGATATGGCAGGACAGTACAGCTTAGATCTGATTTGATCCATTACTTGTGGAATCACTTTCCTGTCTTTTACTTGCTGCTTATAATATTTGGAGTGTGCCAGCAGTCCTATTTCTTGGCTCCACTAGTTTGCCACTTCATTGATAAGAATGTCTGCGGTTGCTCCTCACATGCCCTCTTGCAATCTTCAATCAAAAATTAACCCTTTCAGACCAATTAGCAACATGTCTTCCAAAAAACCACATCGCCCCCAACCCTGTTTCTGTGTCTCCTGAAGCACCTGAAATATTCACATTGCACTTGTAACATTTTCTGCACATGCACACTTTGTGCAATGCCTGAATTTAAAAAAACATGGCGGCACGCAAATAACAGAAACAAGCAGGATCAAATGGGATGGGATTATGTCATTGGCAAAACGGGTGGGGGGGCTGTGCTTCTGAGTATTGCAAATGCACAATGAAAACCTATTGGCGGGAGGTGTTGGGGTCAGCAGACATTCTCTGTCACTAACAACAGTGTGGAGCTGGAGGAACACAGCAGGTCAGGCAGCATGAGAGGAGCAGGAAAGTCGACGTTTTGAGTCAGGACCCTTCTTCAGAATTGATTTCGGAAGAAGGGTCCCGAACTGAAACGTCGACTTTCCTGCTCCTCTCATGCTGCCTGACCTGCTGTGCTCCTCCAGCTCCACACTGCGTTGTCTCAGACTCCAGCATCTGCAGTTCTTGCTATCTCTGGTGCTCTATCACTATACATCCTCCTGGTGTCTCCAACTAGGGGACATGGTTGTTCTGTCAGTGACATGCGGTGACAACATTGGTCACCTAATAGTGACGAATAGTCGCTTATCCAATTAAAGTGCAACAGGTTTGTTTTAGAATCCCTATAGTGTGGAAACGGGCCATTCGGTCCAACAAGTCCACACCAACTCTCCGAACAGCATCCCAACCAGACTCACCCTCCTACCTAATACCCGTCACCCTGCATTTTTCATGGCTAATCCATCCAAACTACGCATCCCTGGACAGTATGGATAATTTAGCATGGCCAATCTACCTAACCTGCACATCTTTGGACTGTGGAAGGAAACTGGAGCACCCAGAGAAAACCCACTCAGACACTGGGAGAATGTGCAAACTCCACACAGACAGTCACCCGAGGCTGGAATTGAACCTGAGTCCCTGGCGCTGTGCTTTTCTTTTGTTCTTTCTTCATTGATTTCCATAATCAAAATGTTCAGCACAGTACATTGTGTTATTATAGATACTTACTATCTTGGAAAAAGTGCAGGGAGATAAATGCAGGTTGCCCAGGGTGACTTACAGTCTGAGTTTTCTATTCACTCTTGTCACTGTTCAGTTCTGCCTGGCAGCACATCAAGATAACACAACCAACCCGGGTAACATGAACCATATCCTGTTGCTCTGCAATACGTCCCTTCGATGACCATCTCATTGTCACTGACCTGATACGAATGAGTTTGAAGTTTGTGTTGTCTTTCTCCGTGCTCCTGTTGAAAGAATTTGACATGGTCAATCTTTTGGGATTTTCTGCAGATTCCCTGACAGAAGCTGTAAGTCAGCAAATAAAGTTGCTATGGTGATGTGGAAGCCTCTTGACACTGGTTAGACTAAAATAGCATTCCAAAAGCACACTTCATCACGCTATCATGTAAATGGAAGAATTTTTAGCAGATGGTAAATTATTGAGACTGGTTCTATTTTACAGGCCAATCACTGTTACGCCCCACTCAATGAATGTGTCAATTCCTTCTTTGTTCACAAATGCAACTGATTGCCCCCTGACCCAGCTGTTCCAGGCACTATCCACAGCTATTATTACGTTTTCTGTGAAACAGCTATATTGACTTCCCTTATTACTGTTCACTTAAGTTTTAACTTGTTTTCTCATCATTGAAGCTTTCAACATGGTAAATAATTTACCCAGTTCAGCTTGGTTGGTTCCCTTCATGATTAACAAAAATCTTAATTTGATCATGTCAGTTATCAAGCATTTCAGGAACATAAATCTCAGTTTCTTATCTTTTCTGAATGCTTTATTTTGATAATGAATACTTTATTTTTGATAATGAATCTGCCTATACTTACCTTTCCTGCCCAATTCTTTCTTGAAGGGTAGCCATTGTTACAGGCAAATGCATCAATCTGCACACAGCAAGATGCCACAAACAGTAAGATAAAAAAAGTGGTGGATTTAAAATGTTGGACAGTACATGGTTTTCTTTTGAATAAAATTATACCTATTTTATTCATTCATAGGATATGGGTTTCACTGGCTAGGCCAGAATTTATTTCCCATTTCTGATTTTCCCTCAAGAAGGTGGTGGTGAGTTGCCTTTTAAAACCCTGCAGTCCTTGGAGTACAGGACTCAATGCTGTTAAGGGGGAAGGTCCAGGATTTTCACCTGTTGACACTGAAGGAATTGCGAAAAAGCTCCAAGATTGGATGGTATGTGACAAGGAGGGGAAATTGCAGTGGTGGTGTTCCTATATATCCGCTGTCCTTGACCTTCTCGATGGTCCAAATCACAGGTTTGGAAGGTGCTGTTGAAGGAGATTTTGTGAAATACTGCATTGAATTTTGTAGATGGTTCTGTGTGTAGGTGGCGAAGGGAGTCAGTGTTGAAGGTGGTGGATGGCCTTCCATTCAAGTGGACTGCTTTGTCCTAGATTGTGTTGAGCTTCCTGAGTATTGTGGAAGTGTTGTGGATGGTGGGAAGATGCTTCCATTGGTAGGAGAGTCTAGTACCCGAGGGCACAGCCTTAGAGTAAATGGAAGACCTTTTAGAACTTTCAACCAGAGAGTGGCGAATCTATGGAATTCACTGCCACAGAAGGCTGTGGAGGCCAGGTCATTGAATACATTTAAGACAGAGATAGATAGGTTCTTGACGATTAAGGGGATCAAGGGTTACTGGGAGAAAGCAGGAGAATTGGGCTGAGGAACTTATCAGCCACGACTGAATGGCGGAGCAGACTCGATGGGCCAAATGTCCTAATTTCGGCTCCTATGTCTTATGGTCTTATGGTTTCCATCCAGGCAAGTGGACAGTATTCCTTGACGTACATGACTTATGTCTTGCAGATGGTGGGAGAGCAGGCATTGAAGAGACAGGAGGTGAATTTCTTTCCACAGAATTCCTAGGCTCTGATATGTTCTTTGATATGACCATGGCTCACAATTCCCATCCATCTATGGATATAGCAAACTGTAATTACAACATTTGTCATTCTTCTTAAGAAGGACAAACAGCCAAAGATTAACGGCAGATGCAAATGTTTCCTGGAGATCAAAGCCGTGAACATCACACTAAGCAAGGAGTCAAACAAGTTTCAAAAACAGAAAATGCACTACAATCTGAATTTGTACTTTCATAGGAGTATCATAATATCTTTTGTGAACATGAGGGTTAAAAAAAAAGCAACACTGCAACATAGGTTAAAAATGAGCTTCAACCATGTGTATTGTCCAAGTGTGTGAAATAGTGATCTGTGAATGTCACAGCCCTGACAACAACATCTTTAAACACCCCTGTCTTGCAGGTAAAACAAAGGGGAAAGACTGTTACTCTGTTTCAGCACTGCTGCTCAGCCACTGCGACAAGGAATCAGGACAAAAAAGTTTCAGAAAACCTCCAAAGCCAAGAATCTTAAAATCGAGGTGTCAAGGCTATCAGTAAGCTCCACTGCAATGTTCAGTGATCCACTGTTCTTTAACAAGTCAAAAGCTGAACAGTATTAACTTTTTTTTATTCATTCATGGGATGAGGGTGTCATTGGCTAGGCAGCATTTATTGCCCATCCTTAATTGTTAATTGTTAGTTAAGAGTCAACCACATTGCTGTGGATCTTCAGTCATATCTAGGCCAGACCAGGTAAGATGGCAGTTTCCTTCCCTAAAGGACATTAGTGAACCAGATGGGTTTTTCCCAACAATTGGCAATGGATTCACAGTCATCATTAGATCCTTAGTTCCAGACTTTTTTTTAACTGAATTCAAATTCCACCATCTGCCATGGTGGGATTCGAACCCGAGTCACCAGAACATTATGTGGGTCTCTGGATTAACAGTCCAGAAATAATACCACTAGGCCATCGCCTCCCCCTGTGATCTTGCATCTTTTTGGACTCATCTCTTATTTCAAATCTTTGTACGTGGGTTGTGTAACTATTTCTTCTCAAGTGTTATGAGTAACACACTTTTTGTTAATTCAAGACAGACTGGTTACATTGATTGGCAGAAAGGTAGCTCAGTTGGTTGGAAGGCTGGTTTGTAATGAGACGAGATGAAAACAGCATGGATTCCACACCTGCACCAGCCGAGGCTACCCTGAAGATTGTCTTTCTCAACTTCTTCCATCTGCGGAGGTGTGGTGACCCTCAGGTTAAGCCATTACCAGTCATCTTTCTCTCTCTCTCTCTCTCTCTGAGAGAGCAGCCCAATTGTCTAATAAGACTATGGCAACTTCACCTTTTATGCTTATCCATAGAGAAGTGATATTTTTAAAATTTAACCCTGTTGCAACCAACAACAACAGGGGAAGCGGAGGTTGAGATGGTGAATAATCATGGGGAGCCAGTTTATCCTCCGCACCTAGAGCTTAATGGTTTGAAGTGTCCTATCAGATTCCACTACGAATTGGGAAACCTTGCCCAAAGATGGCTCATAGTGTGTGGTAGATGCTATTTAGAAAGATCAGTTTGTGGTCAATGGTAAGTCTCAGGATGTTGATAGTGGGGGATTCAGAGATGGTAATTGCATTGAAAGTCAAGGGATGATGGTTAGAATCTCTCTGCTGGAGATAGGTTCATTGCTCATACATTTATGGCTGGAACCAAGAAGATTCAGTATGGAGAGGCAAGTGGTATTATCACTGGACTGTCAATCCAAAGATCCAGGTAATATTCTGGGGATCGAATTCGAAACCGAGTTCAATAAAAATCAAGAATTAAGAGTCTAATAGTGACCACAAATTCATTGTTGATTGTAGGAAAAACCCACCTGGTTCACTAATGTCCTTTAGGGCAAGAAACTGTCATCGTTACCTGGTCTGGTCGACATGTCACTCCAGGCCCACAGCAATGTGGGTGACTCCTAACTGCCCTCTGGGCAATTAATGATGGGTAATAAATGCTATGCTAGTCAATGACACCTTCATCCTGCGAATAAACATTTAAAAATGTAAGTTCAATGAGTCCACTATTTCAAAACGGAAACCATTGTGGAAAACAATGCAAGTGTAGCATTCTCTAATTTGTGCCCCATTCAAATGCATCTCATCACTAGGAACATGGAATTGAAGAATTTACCTTTCTAACTTCACACACAACTTCAACACTTTTTGAGGCAGTCCTCTATACTTTAAGGATAGGGGATGACCATCTGCACGAATAGTAATCTGCTCTGTCAAATATTATAATTGATCTTTTTGTAATTGATTAGCAGATGAGCATTCAATAAATAGAAAGGAATGTTTTTAAAAAAGCACAACAGTTACAGCCCATAGGGAGGGCTGTCAGTTCATGGTGACAAACAATTTGGCAAGCCCCATTAATCAATCCTCTTCCCAAATTCTGCAATCTTTTTCTCCCTTTGTGTATTTAACCAGTTCACTTTCAAAATGTGCAAATTGAACACAGCTCTATCATGTTCTCAGCTAGTGCATTGCTGCTCTTAAAACCACTTGGTGTATTAAAAAAATCATCAAATCAACTTTTATTCTTTTTCCAATTACTTAATATCTGTGTCCTCTTCTTCTCAACTATCCCACCAATGGGAACAGTTTATTTCCATCTCCTCTGTCTGACCCCTCAAAATGTTGAGCACCTCAATCAAATCACTTTTCAGTCTTCTCTTCAAAGGAAACAACCACAACTTCATTAATCTATCCATGTAACTGAAGTCTCCTAACCCTGAAACTTTTCAAATTTACTTCACCCCCTCTTGAACATTTTCATATCCTTGTTAAAATATGGTGTCCAAAATTGGACACAACAGTCCAGCTGAGACCCGAACAAAATTTTTTACAAAGATTCATCATGACTGGATTTCTACTGCACCCTCAGACTCCTTTTAACAAAGCTTAGCGTGTAAGAGTTTGTAACCATTTTATTTAACCTGCCATGTTCAACAGTTCGGGTATATTTACATAGGAACTGGAGTGGGCCATTCACCCCTCAAGCTTGTTCCATTGCCATTCAATTAGATCACAGTTGATCTGTGGTCTAACTCCACATGCCCTGCCTTTGTTTCATATCCCTTAATATTATTGTTTAACAAAAAGTTTACAATCTCTAATTTAAATTAACAAATGATCTAGCATCGACTACCTCTTGTGGAGAGAGATCCAAATCTCTACTGGCCTTTTGTGTGGAGAAAGGCTTCCCTACATCTTTTCTCAAATGATCTGGCTGTTTTGAGTCCTTCACAGATCCTAGGGCCTCCTTGAAGTCCTCATGACAGAGAACTATGCAACTGCTCCAGGACTTG